CAGCAGGCCCAAGCTCTTCCCCAGGACCTTCTTCTCGACTTCCCTTCCCCCCATTCCCACCAGGCAGTAGCGCGGCTTCTCTGGCACGACTGGGGACGGGGTGCAGGGAGGGGAGGGGTGGCCGAGGGCCTGAGGCAGGTGGGTGGCCTGTGGCCCCCGAAGGACACCTGCTGTGGCTAAGACACCTCCTAGGGCCACCTGGCTCCAGGCCTCAGCCTCTGCTGCCTCCAGGAGCCCCAAAAAATTGTTTCAAGAAGGGATGAGACAATGCTGAAGATGAAGCCCACAGCAGCAGACCATTCACATTAATTTGCAAAGAAAAAAAAATCTTGTTCATGCCCTGATTAAAGGGGACTGACAATTAACAGCAAAAACAATAGCCAACACTACAGACATCACAATTGGTTCAGCTTACACAATTCTGACTAAAAAATGAAGTTGAGCGAACTTTCCCCTTAATGGGTGCCAAAACTGTTGCTCCAAGATCAGCTGCAAAGAAGAGCAGAGCTTTCTATGGAAACTTTAAACAAGAGGGATCAAGAATCTGAAGCATTTCTTCAAAGAATTGTAACAGGAGAGGAAACATGGCCTTACCAGTACAATCCTGAAGACAAAGCACAATCAAAGCCATGGCTACCAAGAGGTGGAAGTGGTCCAGTCAGAGCAAAAGAGGACTGGTTAAGAGCAAAGGTGACTGTTTCGGGGAATGCTCTAGGCATTTTGCTTGTTGACCTTGTGGATTCCCAAAGAACAATAACATCTGCTTATTATATTTTGAGAAAGTCAGCCAAAGCTTTAGCAGAAAATTGCCAGGAAAGCTTCACCAGAGACTCCTTCTCCACCCGGACAATGCTCCTGCTCATTCTGCTCATCCAACAAGGGCATTTTTGCAAGAGTTTAAACGGGAATCATCAGGCATCCACCTTACAGTCCTGATGTGATTCCTTCAGACTTATTTTTGTTCCATAATCTTAAAAATCATTAAAGGGCACCCATTTTTCTTCAGTTAATAGTGTTAAAAAAAGACTCAATTGACATGGTTAGATTCCCATGACCCTCAGGGGTATTTAAACTATTGGTTCTATTTCTGTAGAGAACCCTAATACCATATATCAATAGGTATGTGTGTCTGTGTACACACACACACACACACACACACACACACCCCATATATTTATGAGAGAGAGACAGCAATTTATTACAGGAATTGGCCCATGCGTTTATGGAGGCCAAGGAGTCCCACCACCATGTGTAAGCTGGAGAAGCAGGCAAGCCAGTGGTATAATTCAGTTCAAGTCTGAAGGCCTGACAACCAGGAGAGCTGGTGATGTAAGTCTTGGTTCAAGTCTGAAGGTCCAAGGACCAGGAGCACTGATGTCTAAGGGCAGGAGAAGATGGATGTTCTCATTCAAACAGAGAATGTTTGACCACCTTTCCTTTGGCTTTATGTTCTATTCTGGCACTTCCTCAAAAGAATGGATGATGCCTGCCCACATGGATGAGGGAAGATCTTCTTTTTTCAGCGTACAGACTCAAATGCTAACCTCTTCCTAAAATACAGTCACAGACACACCCAAAAGTAATGTTTTACCAGCTATCTGGGTATCCCTTAGCCCAGTCACTGACACCTAAAATTAACATACATATGCGTGTGTGTGTGTGTGTGTGTGCATGTGTGCCTGAATTCTGTCACAGAGTCATTAATAGAACTTAAACATATGTCTACTTGTTTGTAATGACATTATCTCACCAGTTTTAAGTACAATGACCCATTTTAGAGATTTGGACAAAGCCAAGTATCCTTAGCTTTTTCCACCAAAGAAAGGAAAAAAAAAAAGCACATGGTGCTAACATTCTGAGTATAAAGTATATGCCAGGCACTCTTGGATACTTAAAAACACTCTCTCACCCCAAGACGTCATCCCTTTTGAGGCTGGGGATGGAATTCCCAGTGTCATGTTTTATCATTTTTGCCTGGTCTGCTGGAGCAGACTCCTCATCAGTATCTCTGCTTCTACTTTTTTTTTCCCAATAGTTCAGTCTGCTCAGAGGCACCAGAGTGTGATTCAAATATATCATGTCACTTTCCTGCCTAAAGTTCTTCACACATTTCCCACAGCAATTAGAATAAAATTCACACTCCCTTCAATGGCTTACAAACCTCTCTCGGCATATGGTCTGGCCTTTGCCTAACTTTCTAATTTCATCTGCAACTATTCTTTTCCCTGCTCACAATGCTTAGCATAGAGGTCTCCACACGACAGCCCACAGGCAAAAGCCAGTCTCCTGCCTGTTTTTGTACAGCCGCTGAACCAAGAATGATCTTTACATTTTTAAATGGCTAGAAAAAAGAAAACAGAAAAGCAATATTTTGTGACACATGAAAATGAGATGCAATTCAAATTCCAGTGTTGATAAATAAAGTTTTGTGGCAACATAGGGCATTGTCCAGGGTTGCTTTTAGGCTAAAGAAGCAGCTCTTATTTTTTGGAGCTCAGCTGTTGCAGCCACGGCTAAATGGCCCACAAAGCTTGAGATATTCGCTAGCTGGCCCACTACAAAAGAAGTTTGCCAACTTCTGCTTTAGCCACACTGAAGACCTTTCTGTCACTGAAACTCACTCTGTGCATTCCTTCCTCAGGGCTCCCTGTTTCCTAGTCTCTATTCCTGGTATGTTCTTCTCTAGCTTTTCACATGACTGGTTTGTTCTCATAAAGTCTGGCTTAACTTGGACAAAACCAGCAGAAGGTCATATACTATCAGACTGTATCTCCTTCCATAATGACCAGTTTCCAAACCCTGCATAGAGAGAGATTTGGTTTCAAATTCTCTCATTTTTATCTGGCAGTAGCGAGGGAACGGGAAGCTTTCTTGAGGCCACGATTGGTTCTGAACTCCATCAGCCTAGTGATTTCTCCTGCAATTGGTGTAAATCAAGCTTGTCCAACCTCACAGCCCATGGGCTGCGAGAGGCCCAGGACAGCTTTGAATGTGGCCCAACACAAATTCGTAAACTTTCTCAGAACATCATGAGATTGTGTGTGTGTGTGATTGTTTTTTAGCTCATCAGCTATCGCTAGTGTGTTTTATGTGTGACCCAAGACAATTCTTCTTCCCAAGGAAGAAGAAGCCAAAAGATCGGACACCCTGATGTAAATGGATGTCCCTCCCCTCTCGCACCCAGGAGACTAAGAAGCTAAAGGAAGAGACTGTTCTGTATCCCAGACTCGGGGGAACAAACGAGATGTTGCTGAAACTCTCCCCATGGTCGTTTCAGCCACATCTCCATCACATTACAGCCAGCAAGGGAGCAAGAACAGGCCAGAATTCTTAACGGAATTGTGGACATGGAACTTCCAACAGAGGATAAGGTGTGCTTTTTATTACAGGGCACTGGTCCACCAAAGAGGGCGTCCATAGACCCTCTGGATAAAAGCTACATTTATCCGTGATGTGGAGAGAGGTCTTCTGAGCTAAAGTCAGTACACGTTGTCTACAGCCCGTGTAGTGTGGCGTGGTACAGACGATGCGCATGGACCTTAGCTCAGAAGACCTCTCTCCACGTCAGCTGTGGGGTGCTGCAAGTCACCCACCCACTCCGAGCCTGTTTCCTCGTCTGTAAAATACCAACCGGCCTAATCCTCTTAGAGACTGTTTAAGGATCTGGTGAGAAAATATTTTTACAATGCTTTTTAAGCTAAGTCTTAAAGAAATACAAAATATTTTACTAGCCCTTTCTCGATGGCATGAACAGAAAATTCTGCTTAAGAAGTGCCACCATGGGGCTGGGCACGGTGGCTCACGCCTATAATCCCAGCACTTTGGGAGGCTGCAGCAGGTGGATCACCTGAGGTCAGGAGTTCCAGACCAGCCTGGTCAATATGGTGAAACTCCATCTCTACCAAAAATACAAAAATTAGCTGGGTGTGGTGGTAGGCGCCTGTAATCCCAGCTACTCGGGAGGCTGAGGCAAGAGAATCCCTTGAACCCGGGAGGCAGAGGTTGCAGTGAGCCAAGATCGTACCATTGTACTCTAGCCTGGGCGACAGAGCTAGACTCCATTTCAAAAAAAAAAAGAAAAGAAAAGAAAAAAAGAAAATACCACCATGGACAACTTCCATGATTTTGTGAGTATCTCAAGAGTATTTAATTAAGTTGTCACGTCCTTAAATGTATTACTTTTAAATATATATAGGAGAAAAAGATATGTGTGAGGTTTGAAGGGGTGTTGCTTAGAATGCAAATACATTCTGTGAGATGTGGGGTGGGGGCCGACCGTGGAGGCAGAGACGAGAGAGAGGGAAATTCTGAAAAAGGAAGCTGCCAAGATAACAGATCAAGGCCAAACCAGGAGAGAAACGCGTCCAGACCTCTTGGGTAAGCATAACTCTCACATTTATATGCCAGCTTTAATTTAGAAAGTGTATGTTTCCCAAAGCAATTCAGTGAATGGGGTTCACTGTAGGAATTGTTTCAGGGTTACCGAGTGCAGTGAATACCAAGGGGAGTATTATGACAGAGACCACTGAGGGACTTTTTTTTTTTTTTTTTTTTTTTTGAGACAGTCTCGCTCTGTCACCCAGGCTGGAGTGCAGTGGTACGGTCATGGCTCACTGCAGCCTTGACCTCCTAGGCTCAAGCAATTCTCCTGCCTCAGCCTCCCAAGGAGCTGGGACTACAGGTATGTGCCACCATGCTCAGCTAGTTTTTTATTTATTTTGTTTTTTAGAGACAGGGTCTCTCTCTGTCACCCAGGCTGGAGTGCTATGGTACAATCATGACTTATTGCAGCCTCAAACTCTTGGGCTTAAAAAATTCTCCTGCCTCAGCCTTTGGAGTAGCTGGGACTACAGGGGTGCACCTCCACGCCCAGCTAATTTTTCATTTCTTTTATTTTTTACAGATGGGGTCTCACTTTGTTACCCAGGCCGGTCTCAAACTCCTGGCTTCAAGCAGTCCCCCCACTTCAGCCTCCCACTGGGATTACAGGCGTGAACCACCATGCTAAAGGAATTTTGAATTGGGATTTAGAAAAAAATGCAGTAAGTTCTGAGAGACTGAGGACGATGCTTGGCCCAAGGGCTGGTTTAAATATAAAATGTATCTCTATTAAGACCCGTGTGAGGGCCCGGAGGTGCCCTGGCCCTGGGGTCAGGAGATGTGGGTCCCAGGCAGTGCTCTGACATGCCCTAGCTGAGCAGAGCTGCTCTCTGGGAGCCAGTTTTCTGCTCCGTAAAATTAGGACAATATGCTCTATCTTTCGGGTTGGGGAGGGTGGTGCGAGGAGCAGAAATAATGCGTGGAAAGCAATCTGCACCATACCCTGCAGGAAAGGAAGCTGCTGTTCCTGCTCTCATGTGCCAGGCCAGTTACTGTAGAGATGTACGCTCCATTAAAACACCGTCATCTTCCCCAGGCTGCAGAGATACCAGTGTTACAGCACAGCCGAGATGAGGAGCTGACTGCTCCTGTTGGGAGGACCTGGAGATGATTCATGACAAGAGCACTATAGGAAGAGAGAGAAACATCTGCTTCCTCGAGTGCCAGGGTGGCAGAGGCCACCGGAAGTCTTCACTTGGCTGAAGACTTGCAGTGAGTCTGGGGTTTAATTCAGATAATTGAGAGAAGGCCAGCACCATGGGAATTGTTCAGAATGGGGGTCCAGGGTCAACAGAGAGAACCCTGATTGTATTCAAGAAGAAAGGCGAAACTCTGAGCTAGGATAGCTGAGCTCAGCAGGAGGTCAGAGAGGTAGGAGTAGCATACAGAAAGTGGGCCATGAGCCAGGAGAGGCCTGCAAGGTGGGATGTGCACTCGGCTGATGCTGGACACCTGCAGCCAGGGCGTGACGGGGGCACTGGCTGACTACCCAGGGCGCATGTCTTATCCCCCGCCCCCACCCACCATGCCTGCCCACACCTTTCTGTGTGGGTCCTCACCCAGCCTGGCCACGCTCCAGTGGTATCTACAGCTCTGCTCTTTTCCTCGCCTGCAAAGAGCAAAACAAAGAGGGTAGCAAGGTTAGGCCAGGTGAGAGGCCACTCACCCTGGCCAGCACGTATGGGTGAGGCAGGACAGGCCAGGCCCCCGGCAATCCAGAAGTCCCCTTGGAACAGATGGAAGAGGCAATTCCATCTGGCAAGAGCCAACCCTCTTGCCCACTTACCAATCCCATTCTCTCCACGTAGCCCTCCAGAGCAACTCCCTGAGCATCTTCAAAGCCGGAGGCCTGGAAGTGATGAGAGGCCAACATGTGCTCTAATGAGATACAGCCCCGGATTCCACTTCATCTCCTTGAGACTCCAGCTTTTGCTTGCTCTCCCCATGTCCACCTTCCCTTCCTGACTGCCAGCGGCAGCCGGCAGATCCTATTTCCACGCGGCAGCTCAATGTGCTCAGCCAATGCATAAAGGAAGCCAGTGGAAGGTTATCAATAAATAATGGCTCAAACAGTGAGAGTGTGAAAGATGAATACTGGATGTTTTCCAGGACTTTGCATAGTCATTCATATGCATATATACTTTGCAAATTTCCAAGAAGAAAATATAGCATGTGGCATGTCTCAAACTTGATTGTTCTATAGAAAGTGTTATGAGCTCAACTGTGTCTCCCTAAAACTCATATACTGAAGCTCTAACCCCCAGTACCTTAGAATGTGACTGTGTTTGAAGATAAGGCTTTGAAAATGGGAATTAAGGTAAAACGGGGTCATGAAAGTGGGCCCTAATCCAGTATCACTGGTGTCCTGAATGACCATGTGAACACACAGCAAGAAAGCAGCCACCTGCAAGCTGCCGGGCGTGGTGACTCACACCTGTAATCCCAGCACTTTGGGAGGCCGAAGCAGGTGGATCACGAAGTCTGGAGTTCAAGATCAGCCTGATCAACATGGTGAAACCCCATCTCTACTAAAAATACAAAAATTAGCCAGGTGTGGCAGGCGCCTATAATCCCAGGTACTCAGGAGGTGGAGGCAGGAGAATTGCTTGAACCCGGGAGGCAGAGGTTGCAGTGAGCTGAGATTGTGCCACTGCACTCCAGCCTGGGTGACAGAGCAAGACTTGGTCTCAAAGAAAGAGAAAAGAAAAGAAAAGAGCCCCCTGCAAGCCGAGGAGAGAGGATTCAGAGAAACCAAGCCTACCAATACCTTGGTCCTGAACATTCTGCCTCCAGGACCGTGAGAAATCAATTTCTGTTGTTAAAGCTCCCGGTCCATGGTATTTTGTTATGGCAGCCCTAGCAAACTCATGCAGAAAACCTCTGACTATCTGCACGATCAGTTTAAGATGTGCTGAAATAGTATTATTCATCATTCCAATACTATTTTACTTATTTATTTTTAATTTTATTTTTTTGAGATAGAGTCTTGCTCTGTCACCCAGGCTGGGGTGCAATGGCGCGATCTCGGCTCACTGCAACCTCGGCTCACTGCACTCTCCACCTCCTGGGTTCAAGCAATTCTCCTGCCTCAGCTTCCCCAGGAACTAGGATTACAGGCATGCACCACCATGCCCAGCTAATTTTTGTGGTTTTTTTAGTTTCACCATGTTGTCCAGGCTGGTCTGGAACTCCTGACCTCCGGTGATCGGCTCGCCTCAGCCTCCCAAAGTGCTAGGATTACAGGCATGAGCCACTGCACCCGGCCCAATACTATTTTATTAAAGCTTTTCTATGTGTTTATTTGTATTTATTGGTTATCTAGTATCACTGATTTCTAAGCACTAACTTTCCCCACCTTTGTGTGAGTTCTTTGCACCTGATTCACATAAATCCTTGAATGGTACCTACTCTACAAATAGACAAACGCTTCCTATGCATTCTCAGCCTGCATTCATAATCCCTCCCTGGCCAGCCATTGCGGTGGCTTTGTACTGTGTCAATGTGCCTAAGCTGGAACTATGTTTCTCAGAAAATCGGAGCAAAATCTGGAAGGCAGAAGTAAAACAGCAGTAATATTTACAGTCAGAGTCTGTGTAGGGCCCAGCACTATGGTGGCTCACTGGCTCAATTTATTGGTACAGGGCAGCAGCCGTGCCTGCAGTTCCTCCAGCTCCCACCAGAACTGCTGCTTCAGCTTCACTGAACCTTGGGTTTGTGAGCAATTCCATGGTGAAGTGCACCAGCTCTTCTACAGGTCATCTTCAGCATCAGAGCTGGAGTGTTGGAGACCCAAGAGGCTGATGTGGAAGACATCAGTTTCAGTCCATCCACAGGAGTTCCATCTCCTCCCTGCAAGTGCAGCTCACGCTTACCCTCTCCCACTTCACATCCATTTGCCAGCCCTGCTGACTTCTGGACACGGGGCAGCAGGCTGCAGCTCTCATAACAATGTTTATCCTAATATCGTCAATAAATGCCTCATTTTGCTCAAGGTGGTTTCGCTTCTCTGATCAAACTTTAATGATACAGAGTTTGGAACCCTTGTAGGTGCTGCTGCAGTAAAAACCTAAACTGTGTGGCACTGGCTTTGGGGCCAGGCAGTGAATAGAAGGCAGACGGGCCCTGAGAAGTCTGTCAGTGAGGGCTTCAATAAACATGACGAAAATATTGTTGAAACCTGGAAGAGGGAAGACAGGTTTGTGTAGTGGTGGGAAGTTTAGCAACACTGAAACCCAGGATAACTTGGAAAATAGAAAATGTTTCAATGAACTACATGACAGAGTGGAGGGAACTGACAGGCACACGGGCCACCTAACTTCTAGCTGCCACAATAAAATAAGAGAGAATGGGCCGATCACACTTGTAATCCCAATGCTTTGGGAGGCTGAGGTGGGCAGATCATGAGGTCAGGAGTTCAAGACCAACCTGGCCAATGTGGAGAAACCCCATTTCTACTAAAAATACAAAAATTAGCAGGGCCTGGTGGCGGACGCCTGTAGTCCCAGCTACTTGGGAGGCTTAGGCAGGAGAACTGCTTGAACCCAGGAGTCGGAGCTTGCAGTGAGCCGAGATCGTGCCACTGCACTCCAGCCTGAGCGACAGAGCAAGACTCCGTCTCGAAAAAAAAAAAAAGAAATTAAAATAAAAAGTAAAAATAAATAGGCCAGGCGCAATGGCTCACACCTGTAATCCCGGCACTTTGGGAGGCCAAGGCGGGTGGATCACCAGGTCAGGAGATTGAGACCATCCTGGCTAACACGGTGAAACCCCGTCTCTACTAAAAATACAAAAAATATTAGCCGGGAGTGGTGGCGGTGCCTGTAGTCCCAGCTACTCAGGAGGCTGAGGCAGGAGAATGGCGTGAACCTGGGAGGGGGAGCTTGCAGCGAGCTGAGATCGCGCCACTGCACTCCAGCCTGGGCAACAGAGTGAGACTCCATCTCAAAAAAATAAATAAATAAAATAAAAAATAAGAGAGAATGGAGATGAGTTAAGGAACCAATGGTGGCAGGACTTGCAAGATTTGAAAAAAGAAAAGAAAAATGTTTTATCATTCCCAGCCTCTCCAAATGGCAAACACCTCAAAAAATTAAGAAATGGCTTGTGGATCTGGTTCCAGTTAAGATGGAGGGAGCCGACGCCATGGGAGCTCCCCAATGGGTTACTTCTAAGAACCCCAGAGTGGACACATAAAGCAACTTAATAGGGACTCTGCAAGGAAATAATAGCAGGTGGCTTGGAGAGGGAGAGCCAAACTCCAAGAAAAATGAGTAAGGTGGTGAGTTTCCTCTTCTTCCCCTTCCATGTCTCTTGACATAGATTCAGGGCGGCCAAACCCAGAACTGCTTAAGTGGCAGGGACAGGAAACATTTCAAGAGAAATTCTCTCTTTGCAATCAATGGAATAGGAACGGGGTCCCTGCATGGCACAGCGAGTCGGGGAAACCTGGCTTTATTCCATCCCGACCTGTCCTGATGCCATAAAAGAGTAAGACTTAGGGGTCTTTGGGGAGGGGATGAGTATATTTTGCATGTGGGAAGGGTGTGAGCTATTGTTGCCAGAGGACAGGCTGGTGGACTACATGATCCAAAGATGGTGTAGGAGCACCCCTCGGCCCACAGGCTGGTTTCATAATGTGATCTTGTCATCTCCCATCAAGAGGTGAAGTCTACATCCCTTCCCCTTGAACCTGGGAGGGCTTTTGTGCCTGCTTTAACCAATAGAGGATAGGAGAAGTGACACTCTGTAACTCTAAGACTAGATTATAAAAGGCAAGGCTGTTTCCTACCGGCTTTTTCTCAGGATACTCACTCCTGGAACCCAGTGGCCATGCTGTCAGGAAGCCCAGACCACATGGTGAAGCCCCAGCTGAAGTCCTAGCCCCAGTAATCCCCAGACTGTAGGAGATAATAAGAATGAATGATTTTTGTTCTTTCATGCCACTAAAGTTGCGATTGTTTGTTATAAAGGAATAGGTATATAACTATCCCCAAAGACCCGAACTGTAAACCAGGAAGCCAATATATTACTTTACAAGAAAGATTAGGTCTTTCCAAAGACTACTTACTCCATCCTCGGCAGCCCCTTCCAGGTATCCAGGTCCCTTCGAGGCTACTGGATGAATAAGAAAATAGAGCGCAGAGACCCACAGGCCTGGTGACACCTACTGAAGCTTCTGCCCCAAGCTGTGTCCACCAGTGACTGTCATTTCCCTTCCCCACCCCACCCCCAATGCTCGCTCTCTCATTCCTGCTGGAGAGGGTTTATGTCCAACCATCTCCTGCTATTAATAGTCATTCTTTCCTAGGTAAAGCAAACACAACAGATTCATCTTCTTCCAGGTTAATATACTTACTACGTTCAGTGTCACAGATGTTACTATAGATGTCCTGATAAAAACACCACATTGATTCATGAGGGGCACCACTCCTCAGTCAGTAGTTTACTGATTATTCATTAGTCTGACTTCGCCCATTACCTTTTTATTCTTCATTGCAGTCTGAGAGGTTAACTTATCTCCAAATTGTGATTGTCTTAGTGTTATCCCACGGACTGATATACATGGTCACTCCCACCTATCCACCGAAAGCAATGCCTAATGACTTGTTTGGGTGCCGAACAAAGGGTGCTCATGTACCATATTTTGAGAAACGATGAAGTTTAGCACACGTAGTTGTTCATCTAATATTTTCATTCTGAGGAACATGGGGCTGATTGGCTGCACTGAGCCACGCTTTGGCATAACCCCTTGGGTTACTCTCAGTCCCTTGTTATAGGACCAACAGGTTCATGTGCTCACTGTGCAGTAACAGATCCATTCCACAGAGACAGCAGGGTTTGCAGCAGAGA